ACTTAAGTAAAAATAGACATGCTATAGTCAACAAAAAAAAAAATCTATGACAAATAAAAGTCTTAAATTGAAAATATTAGTTAAAAGTGCAGAAGTATTATCAGCAAAATGGCTCCTATCACAGTGTCAGAAGGCCCCCACATCCACCTTCACCCTACAATGAAGATATATTTAAGCATATTTTTTAAATGATTTTTCAAAAATTAGATTAATTTCAAAATGTATCTTAAATTGATGAACTTCTTTCACGAGCTTTGGATATTTAAAGAAAAACATCATGCATTTAATTCTTGTTTATTCAAACCTTTATACTTTCGTCATTTGCTTCCATCTAATTTTCTTTATTCTGCGCCTGAATGTGTCAAAAGGTGTGAACATATATTTCCAACTTGTAAAGTTTAACTTTTAAAGATGTATCATGTGAGGTAGTTGTTTATCTACAGCAGGGGAAAAAAAGGAGTTGGGGGCCAAACAGGAAGCCGCCTGAAGTCAACAAAATAACATGGTCAAAGAGCAAAGCCACAGGAAAAGATTACACATACATAATCTCCAGGCAAATATAGTGAAGCAAATAGACTTGTAAAACTATACCAATAGTTCAGTTACAAATTAGGAGAGTTGCTGGAGACGTCTTTGTAAAGGGGGAAGAAGAGTTCCCATAGGTTTAAGAAGGGAACATGGAACACTGATGTATGTTGGACGCACCAAAATACGCCATAAAGATAGACTTTCAGAACATTAATACAAATAAATAAAAGGTACATAGGAGTAATGATTCTCTACTGAGAATAGAAGGCTTAGAATCAATACAGACGTCCATTAGACATGGAGATCGTTTACATCTACGACTTCTCTAGAGAGAAACATTTTGGATTTTTAAACTGGATGCGATATATCCTGGTTTAAATGACGAAATTGATTATACACGCTTCCTTTAATTGAGAAATATCATTACACTAGTCCATACCCATTGAGTGCACAGTTGCCCACGTACAGTTTCACATAGTGTGTGTTTAGGATACAGGTCATAGGAAATTGCAGATTAAATTAAAGAAGAGCAATGTATTCAGACAGAGATTTTGTGAATTTGATAGTACGATTGCTTTATTGAAAGTACAGTAGTACCATTGCCAATAGTGGGATAGCTAGTGGGCTAAAACTGTACATTAGTAGTTGAGGTAGCACGTTGAAAGGCAGATAGTTAAAGTGTTTATATGTTGTATTGACTTAAAAGTGGGGCGCACTGGTAGTTCACATGGGAAAGGTACGGCTAGCCCTTGTTGCAGCGGTGGGGGTTAGAATCCGGACTGACAGAATGACACACTGACAGTTTCCGTGATTATGTACAGCATACCATACCATGACTTAGTCATACCAAAAATTAGAAGAAAAACAACAACATTAGGCCACAGGGGGAGCCACAGTGATCGGTTGCATTTTAGCCATTTTTAAGCATTTTTCTGTTGTTATAGCGCCACCCAGTTGCCAATTAGAGTTAAATTTCTCCAGTCACCTTGAGGTGTCCTGTTCTACATATCTACCAAGTTTAGTAAAAATCGATATGGCGGTTAGGCCTAGATAAGAAATTAGCTCTCTAGCTCCCCATTTTATTTGATGGGGTCAATAATGGAGGGGTCCCCTCAGATTATGTGTGGTCATATGCCTACAAAGTTGCGTGGTGATCGGTGAAACCCTTGAGATGTTATACACCTTTATGTGATGAGCCACGCCCTCCGCAATATTCATTGCCTTATAGAAGCTCAGTTTTAGTAAGTTTTCCAACTTTTGCCAAGAGGGAACTTTAGATATTGGTCCCTAGATTATGTTCACCGAGTTTCATGCAGATCGGTCAAACTTCCTAGGAAGAGATCAATTTTAAGTGTTTTTCAAAAACTTCAAAATGGCGGAAAATCTGTATAACTGGAAGTTATGGGTTCTTGAGGCAAATTTGTTCCTCATGAGGAGAGGCATCTCTGTGCAAAGTTTCATGTCTCTACGACATACGGGGCATGAGATATGCCCATTCAAAGTTTGCTATTTCATTCTGTTGCTATAGCGCCCCCCTTTGGCCAACTGATGTAATATTGCTTCATTCGCATCCTCCCATGACCCTCTACCACTGTGCCAAATTTCACATGGATTGACCAAGTCAGTGAGGAGAAAAACATGGAACAGACACACAGATATTATATAGGAAGATGACAAGTGATCTGTTCTTGCTATTGTTGTGGAGGCATGCCACTTTCAAAATGGCTTCTCATCATAATCCATTGCTGTCACCCACCGGTGCTCATTTATTAATCAAGACTGGGTGACACCCACTACCAAGCTTATAAAATGTTTGCTTGACTCCTGTCCACCCTTTTTCCACCCTGACGAAGACCACAGAGTCGAAACCGGTCGGTGTTTTAATGTGAGCAGCCATGTTTTGAAATAGAGGCTTGTTAATTTAATTTTATAAAATGCATCTGTTCCTGTTCCTTCCTGTTTAAAATAGAGTATCTTTTATACCAGAGCTGGCAAAATGTGAAATACGAAACAGAATACCCTCAACTGAAAACGTCTTTAACATGTTAAGGATTTGCTGATTGGGGGGATCAATTTTTTCATTTACTTACTTTATTTACTATACTTTTATGTACTAAATTACTACTTATTATTTTTTTTACTGTATTTATTACTAACAAAAACAAGACCTAAAGAGAAACTGTAATGCAAATAAGATCATTTTAATATGGTAGATCCAGTTTTTGATACCTCATGCACTACTGGGTAGATTAGTATTACAGTAGTTGTGTCATATAAGCATAACATATGTTTTTATATGTAAAGGTTAATTGTAACTGTTGTGTCAAATAAATGTATTGGAGCTGAATGTACAATATTCCTCTCTGAGCTGTAATGGAGTACAATAATTATAAGAGCCACTGAGCACGTGTTAATATTTGGCAAGAATTTCTGTGTTGATATGACATATGTATCATATAGGTTCTGATGGTATTTTGATTTACACAACAGTTTTAAATAGTGTATGATAGTGGACTATACTGAGGTTATGTTACTTTATTTATGTGTTAGAATACACAAAGTGTTGAAGTATAATGATGGGTAATATGTGAGAATATATAGAAGTAGGACACTTAGTCGGTAGTGGACCGCACGGGCTGTAACTTTGGAAGGACTTAACCTGTCGTTTTGTTTCATTTTTTTTTTATTCTACTGTAAATAAACCTCGTCAAACTCTTTCCCTGCCTCAGGTGAGTACTCTGGCTCTTAAGGAACAGAAAAATGAGTCAAACCAGAGTATTTACAAACTAAGGAACTGTGGTATGTTGAAACAGGCACTACAATAATGTACCATAAAATGGAAATACTACAGTAAAACAATGTCCACATTGTGCTCGACTACAGAACCAAAGTAAATGTACCTTGTTACCCCCCACCTCCCCACCCCTAAACCTCAACTAAAGACTTTAAGTCTGTATTTATACATTTGATATTTTGATGCATATAGTTCCCAACACTCACAAAAAACAGTCATTATCTATTCAAATCTATTAATTTTTTATTGATTTTTTAGCATAGAATCAACATGTGAATAAGCTCCTTCAACCAGATAGATTCAAGTAAAAACAACAATTCTTCAAAAGTTAGCCCTTGATTTACTTGGTGGGTCATGCCTCATACTGCCAGCCTGTTTATGGATTTTAATATATATAACCCATTGAAGTCAGCATGGTATACCACAAAGATCTGTTCTGTTCTGTATGGATTAAGACATGTTGACCTGTCAAACACAGGTTTAAAAATAACACTAGTAAAAGCTGCAGTGGGGGCTGACACTTTGGGGCCCTGGGCTTGTGCCTAGCCTGCTGGGGTTACAGTTCTGACCAACCAGGAGACAACCAACTACCAGCTACCAATTTAAGACTGGCCCTCTATGTCCATCCCAGCTGGCTACCACTGCTTGATGGCTTCGGCCCTGATCACACAGGAAGCGTTTTAACAGCTGGAGGCGCCTTTCTGAAATTGTTTTAACTAAGGATTAAGTTTTTGCTCTTGCCTCGGAGCAAAAGAGCGCCCCACATCATCTCTTTTTATTGTAATTTTTCCCATTGTCCAATTGCATGATTTGACCTTCTGTAGTGGTCACGACAAGTTTATTGATAGAAACTGGTAGTAGTGGTTGCTGGATACCCAGAGCTACAGTATACAGCCCAACAATAGACAACAGGTTGTCAAACTGCCCCCGAGTCATCCTAAAATATGCCTGTAAATGGCATTCATGGATGCGAAGCTCCTGGACCAATTGGTGGTACTTCCCATGATCCACCCTCGATCTCTGCACGCAAGCTTTTACAGCACCAGTACAGAAATAATCTCCATCCATGCCAACACTTCTGAAAACACATATCACATGACCATTTGCGTACACTGGGCATGCCGGTGTAAATAGGAAGCAGATTGTCTACTCTAACAGTAAGGTGGAACTGCTACTGAAAGTGACACATAAGTATAAGGTGGTCAAGGCGGCCGAAAACAGATGGTAATCATTGCAAAGCAAAGCAGCAATATATCAGTGCAGTACCAGGAGCATTACACATCACCAGATGAAGGCATGGAAATGTGAAAGGAGTACTCAAACAGGATTGTTAAATCAGAAATGGTATGTCGACCTATAGCTGTCATAATGTGGCTTGACACGTTGTGACTGATATGACCCAATCAGAAAGCGAACATGGGTAATTGTTTCCAAAACACTGGAGTTTTCAGACTACAACAGGAACAGCAGAGTTTTCAAAGGTCTCCATTTAAGTCTTGTCGACACTATGTGTAAACTGAGAAATAGTTATGCAATCAAAGACAAAACCATAAGCAAGGATGCAGCACCAGAAACTGATGTCAGCCAAACAGTGTGCGCAAGGTTCGGAGGGCAGTGTTGAGTTTATGGGTGCAGGTAAAGAAGAGCATGGATCCAGGACACTATTGAGCCTAGTCTGTGCCGTGGACCCAACTCAACAAAACACTGCTTATTAGACTGTGCCAACCTAATGACTCCATGAACTTGCCTGCACTCAAACATACTGAAACCAGGTCAGGTCAAGAAAAGTTATCATGCGTGTAAATATTTCTCATGCTTGAGGAGTTCCTAATTGTGGCCATTTTGAAGACTCGTGCAACCAGACAAACGGGAATGGCAGCTGAGCAACTGAGCAGGCCATAGCAATCAGATGAAATTGCCCCTCAAGCAGGTCAGAGAAAAGTATTTTCCTGGAATGATAAGTTGAGAATTTCACCATGAGAAACAAAGATATCTGTAAAGCCAAAAGTCTGAAAAAGAGACAGAGATAATGAAAAAGTATTGCATCTATTGATAAAAGATGAGAAGAGGCCTTGTTTTCATTTTTTCCCCCTGCTGGTAGTTGTGTTAGCGTGAACTGCGAAGGTCTCTGCCACCAATAACGGGAAGATTATGGTAGCATCTCCGAACACCTGAAAAGACACAAAAACAACATGAGCTTGAAAATAAGAAGCCCTCATTAGGCTTTCTGCAAATATACGTCTTTAGGATGTGTTAATGCAATACAGCCTTGATATTAGTATTTAATATTCAATATATTCAATGTCAGTATAATAGTAGTCTCACATAGTCAGATCTATCTCTACAGCACTATGTCAGTGCGAGAGAACAGTCTGGAATCACCGATTATCTTTCCGCTATGGGGAAAAAAAACACTCTGGTCTGTGTGTGATTCTTTAAACTAGGGATGCACGATAGATATTGGGCCGATAAATTGTCAGCAGATAATAGGACGTTTTGATTATTATGCATTATTCCGATAATTTAAATTATAGTCGAGAAATAGCGCCGATAATACAAGGCCACACTGCTTTCACTGACTTAACAAGGGCAGCATCTACACACCTGACACAGTGGGTGGTGGTACATTTACCTTTAAACTTGGTTTGTGAGCCACCAGTAAACACAGAGAAGGGGAACAACAACTGCAGCACACTGTCTAGAGGGCAAAACAAGTCGCAGTGTGGACGTCTTTTACAGTTCCAGAGGAAGACAACAGCATTCCACCGAGACAGATTAGACACGGCGCTAAAGGATCGTCTCCAGAGTGTTAGCACGAGCTAGTTAGCGGCAGCAGCTTACATCCAACACCAAGCTTTTAAAAGGCTCGACTCTGTTGTTAAACTTATTAATAACCGCTAGCCATGTGATGCTACAGTTAGCAATTACTTGAATCACTACGTGGCTGTGTGTGTGTGAGACACAGCCACTTGTTTGTCTGAGTTGAGTGTTAATGTGTGAGGTGAATCAGTAACTCATCGCTATTGTGGGATGGTGAGACGGTGCCTGGTTGTGTTTATAAAAATGTAGCATAATGATACAAACATTTCATACACCAGATGTAACGTGGACCTACCGATGCACATTCAACCTGTCAGCTGTCAGTGTTTGTCTCTGTAAGTAGAGACACCTGCCTTACCATTAACTATAAATCTAATACTGATTAAAAGTAATTTTACTTTGTATTCATTATGTTCAGCTGTAGTGTAGGGTTACAGGATATGGGGGCAGGGGCTTTGAGGGTGGGCCATTTGTCAATACCCCAGAAAATCTCCCTGTTTTCGACAGCCTAACATTGGCACGTATGGAAGAGTCGGAACTGGTTTTTTTGTGTGTGTGTGTGTTAGCAGTAGTGATGTCGGTTTGGTTTGATTTGGTTAGGTCAGGGCTATAGAATATTAAATTATCCATATTTCCTCACTGCATCTTAGTCTTTCTTACCCTCAGATGTGCATAAACTACAGGTTATACACTTCTTTTTAAAATACAAAAATGTGAAATTATCAATTATTGGTATCAGTTGAAAAGTCCATATTGGTGCATCCCTACTTTAAACCAATCACATTCATGTTGGGTGGCTGGAGCCTATCCCAGCTGACATTGGGTGAGAGGCGGGGTACACCCTGGACAGGTCGCCAGACTATCACAGGGCTGACACATAGACCCAGACAACCATTCACACTCACATTCACACCTATGGGCAATTTAGAGTCACCAGTTAACCTGCATGTCTTTGGACTGTGGGAGGAAGCTGGAGCACCCTGGGAAAACCCACACTGCATTTACAAGTTGCTTTATTCACCGTAGATCTTTACAGCAAATCACTGAAAGAACAAAGCACACATGCTTTTTGCACGATCCAAGTCTTTGTAAAAACCTGCCATTTTCAGCTTGTAAGTTGTTAGCTGTGAGGTTGCTGTTGTTTCCCCTCTAGAAGGGGGATTTGGAAACGTAACAAACAGATGGACACGGAAGGAAGGGAGAATTCCAGCTGAAATCAACTGCCCAGTGGCAGGCTTATAGCCGCAGTCTACATCCAGTGAGTCAGACTACTATAATAGATACCTTCACTGGTTTAGCTTCTCCTCTGATCTTGCCCCACGACACAGCCTCATCAGGTCTGGCCCCTGAGTCACAACCATCAAACTCCTGAGCCGTGTTCACGTACACCGCATAGTCGGCTCCATCCCTCTGGAAGAAGAGAAAGCAGTGCTTCAAAGCAGCAAACTAAGCAAAGACCAAAGGAGTATACTTGATGTTATGACTCTGTGTGTCTGTGTGTGAATCTATTTGTTTGGCTTGCCTGAATACATTTCAAATGGGAAATAAAAAGTACTAACCCAGGAATTGGCATTGCATATGTGGTGTTTGGCTACACCTCCTCCCAGGGTGATAATCCCTGTGCTGTTGGCAGCCACCACAAGGTTGTTCAACTTTGAAATATCTGGAACCAATTGCATTGTATAAGACAGGTATTTTTTAACTTATTGGGATCGGCTATATTGAGCTATAAGCCCTGTTTCCACAGAGCAAGTCTGGTACAGTTCCGCTCAGTGCGCTTTTTTTTCCATTTTCACTGTGAAAAGTTGTGGATGGTACCAATGAAACTGTTCCCTACTGTCCCCATTCTTGGGGTACCTAGAAACAAAGAAAAAAGCGCACCAAACTGAACTGAACCATTCGTCTTGGTGGAAACAGGGCTTATGGCTCAAAATAGCCAATCCAATCCTTTGTTATACATCAGCTGTCACAAAGCTGTTTTTACTTAAAGGGCCAGTGTGTAAAATGGGTTGAAAACCGTTGGAAACAGTGACATCAGTGGTCAAATTCTAGATTGCGGGGCTCACTCGCTCACCCCTCCCGTTGGGTAAATGACGGTGGCCTCGTAGGGACAAAAAGCCTTGCGCACGACTTTTTCAGGAGTAGGTCTATCTAGCGACGAGGTGAATGTTTATTTAGAAATCTAAACCATGTTACGATATTGTAATGAATCCCTCACGAGCAGGAGACCAGAGGAGCGTTCAGGAAAAAGGCCCGTTTATTTGAGCACTCCAGAAACTCCGGTAACACTCCACTCCATCCCAAACTCTGACTCTTCTAGCATAACAGACACACTTCATAAATTTACACACATACTCGTTTACTATACCGAGTGGGGACTCCCCTCCCCTCTCTGCTCCACCAATCTCCAGCCCGCACACTGACTGACAGCGTAGCCGGTAAACAGAGCTCAGCTGTTTATTTAGCCTAGCAATATCTCCGGACTATAGTAGCTGCAATGGACGACTTTGAACGCGATTTTGAAGAGTCTACTAACACTCTGCTGTTTCTTCCTCCTTCCTTCCTTCCGCTGTCTTCGTTGGTTCATTTATACACGCGAAACGCGTTCTCTGGCTGGCTGGATTGTCCACTCGGTCTGCCGTACATACATGGCGGTGCAAGATGGCGACCTCTCTAAAGCAAGGCCCTTGCTATATATATATATATATATATAAAAGCATAATTATAAGGCTATGAAAACCAAACAAATTTTATTTTATAGCGATCATACACTTGTATAAACATATTAATGGGTGATTGACAATAAACCATGCCAAATATTACACACTGGCCCTTTAAATAAACTTTCAGTGGAGTACAGGTCATTCAGGGAACTCAGACACAGGCTGTGCTGAAGCAACAAACAGTGGAGAGTGCTCTCTTGAAGGGGGAGAGATATTCCATTGAGGCAGTGAAAAGACCAAAAACATGAAAGATAATTTAAAAAAAGACATAAAAGAACAGCTTGGATACATTTTTTTCTTAATACATTGCAGAGCCATTCAGTCATCAAGAATAGGCTTTATATTGGATTGACTTGAACACTTGAACTTTAAAGTACTTCTAGTGTGCACTGTGCAGCTGTATTATCCAGGAAAATAGAAGTATCAGTTGGGACTTGGCGTCGGCTGATACACAATATTAATTGACTTGGATCAGGGGCAAAAAAACTTGATCAGGACATTCTTACCTTCAACTATATCCAACATAATGTCGGGGTTCTCTTGTGAGAAGAGGTAGAATTGATCTCCTATAGCACCGTCTGTCAGGGCAGGGCAGAACACTGGGATGTTATTCTGAAACAGACACCAGATCAGTGCTCAGTAACGCCATGAGGCCAGACCTACATTCACTGATGATGGTTTGTCCAAAACATTTGTCTATCAGGGGAGCAAATTTGCCCTCTACACACCCCATCACTATGCTGGAAGTGCGGCAGTCAGATCCACCCCTCACTCCTCCACAGAACTAGCCTCTTGCCCAATGTGGTCACTGCTGGCTCCAAGAAACCAAGATAGTGATGGCCAAATTGACAAACTCAAGGCTTCAAAACAGGAGTCCACAAACCAATAGGTGACGTCACGGTAGCTACGTCCATTATTTATACAATCTGTGGTCAAACTATGCAAGGACAGCGCTTACCACCAAAGACTGCAAATGCTACCTATCCAAACTGACTCTGACAAATGGTGACCAATTTCCAAAATCTGTGTACTGTTAGTGAGTGGGTAGAGGACAAATGGCCCAATATTCAGTGGTGAGATATATACACATATTTGGAAGAGAAACGTTGCTTGACCAGCAAGAAATCAAGGCATACAAGTCACTAGATGTTTGAGACTACATTATTTGTGGTCATATACAGAACATCAAATACCATGACCCAGATTCAGTGTTTTTTGTCTTGAAATAAAACATCCTTCCTAACCAAAGACAAGGACACAAGACCACTAAAAGGCCTGGGTTATAATTCAACCAGAAAACTTGTGTTACATACTAACAGGGATTTGTAGCTACATTTTTTGTTATTGGCCAGCCTCTTGCCTAAATATGGTCATCTCTGGCCTCAAAAAAACAATATGGTGACGACCAAAATTCCAAACTCGAGGCTTCAAAATGGAAGTCAACAAACCAATAGGTGACGTCATGGTAGCTATGTCCCTTATTTTTTACTATCTGCGGTTCAGACATGATCTCTTTATTACTCTATTCACCCTTCCAACAAACCCATAAGCCTCGCTATCTGGTTAAAGAAAAAGAAACAAAAGTTGGAAACAATGTGAGGGAGCAACAACACTAGGCAAGAAGGCAGGGTGATGTATACCACGACTCACCTTGTATGCCCAGTAGTAAACAGATTCAGGGTTGTCAATCTCCTTGCCCAGCCGCTGGATCACCTTAGATGGAGTCCAGCGAACGCCCTGAGTGGAAAAGCATAACAGAAAAGTTTAGCAAAAATATTAGACATGAAAATAATAATTCATTTTCAGAGTATTGTTGTTTTTTTTTTTTGGTTATTGCTGTTGTTTTACATTTACTACATCACTGAAATGTACAACATTTTAGAAAAACAAATTGACAAATGTTTAAAATAGAGTCCTTGCACCTGATTTCTCTGCTCCACCAACATCTCCTTCAGGATCGGCACCATCCATTCGTCAAATTTTGCATAGTTTTCATCTGGCATCAGGACGTTCCCTTGCCTGTAGCCAATGTGACACACAGGAGAAAGTCATGTTTATTTGCTATTTCCTTTACTTTTGGTGTGGCTCTGTGAATGGCAACGTCATTCTGTCAGTTGGTCAGTCACTACCCCCTTTGCTTCTGAGATATCTGAACAACTACTTGATGAATTGCCAAGACACTGGCAGAGGCATTCATGGCCCCCTCAGGATGAATGGGACTCACTTTGGTGATGCATGCACTAGGAAAGCAAAACAGCTAATGCTAATTTCAAAGTGAAACGCATCTTTATAATTCGTCAGTCATTTGTCAGTGTAGGATTTCAGACCACGGCTGAAGGCATAACAAACAAAGGAGCCCTTCTCCTTGCTGTCATGAGGTCATTACTGTTTCTATGTCTTTGTATGCAGACCCTGATTGTAGCATGTAAGAAGCCCATGCGCGGCCGCTGTCCGCATGCAACTCTGCAGCTGTCTGCGTCCATACTGAAGCATGAACAAGCCTGAAGATAAACATTATACCTGCTGAACATCAGCATCTTAGCATTGTCATTGTGAGCGTGTTAGCATACTGGTGTTACCATTAGCTTGGTACAGCCTCACTAGCCGTAGTGCTGTAAAAGCCAAAACCTGTCTTTATTTCTTTTAGCCACATTTACAAGGTGTCACATTCTGGTTATCCAACATGTTCTCTGACCTGTTAAGACCTTTTTTATACAGATCCTTGCCAGGCAGAGTAAATTCTCCCATGTACACTGGGCCCAAACACTTGATCAGATCCTCCTCTATACCTCCAGCTGTTGTCACCAAGACATCCACCTGCACAGAGGAAGAAAAAATATTGTATTAGTGAAAGGATTTAGTGTGTATTAAAATTCTATATGTCTGATGTTTCATGTATTTGGAGAGAGTCTGCCCCTAGAATGTATAAAAAAGTGGATGTAGCATGCAAGTCCGAAAAGTGAAGCCAATGCAGAAGTGCCTTTATACTTAATTTATTACCTCACTGAATATTTTCCTAATGACTTTATGGTCTCAATCCCTAGTTTCAAGCAAAGACTGTATAAAATAATGGATGTAGCTACTGTGACGTCACCCATTGGTGTGTGGTCTGCCATTTTGAAACCCAAAGTCTGTCATTTCAGATGTCAATATCTTGTTTTTCTGTAACGAGAGGTGGCTCTGACTCTGACAGCCTGTCAATCAAGCGGTTACACCATTAAATACAGATAACTTTAAGCCTTAATAAAATGTAAATGGGCGAGTTATATGAAAATTCACTCCCCGTGCAGTTTTCATGAATGTTGAAATTACCCAATCATTCTCTTTGAATGATTTCTTTGTTGCCAAAGGTTTGGACTGCCTGCTGCTTATTTTGCTAACCTAATGACTTCCAGCAGGCGAAACCCCAGAGTCTTATTCCAGGCGATTAACAACATTATCAGTCCTCCACTCCCCTCAGTCCCTGTTTCTTCCAATCAGGATTGTAACCATTTTCCTGTCTGTTTTTTGTGAATAAGGTTGCTGATGTTAGGGCTAGTATCACCCCCTCCTTTGCCTCCCCTCCAACCTGTCCACTCGGGCTGGCTTCTCTCAGCAGTTTCTCCTCCATCACTCTGCAGGATCTGACTGAGCTAGTGAGCACCATGAAATCTTCCTCCAGTCCACTAGACATCTTATCAACGTCCTTGCTGAGAGAGTTTTTTAGCTCTGTGGGCCCTAGCTAGGTCTCCATTATTACCACCTCCCTGAATTTTTCAAACAGGCTATTGTGCAGCCGCTGCTCAAAAAGCGAAACTTAGACCCCTCCATACCCAAAAATTACAGACCCATCTCCAAACTGCCATTTATATGTAAAATCCTTGAGAAAGTAGTTGCAAACCAGTTTATATCCTTCTTGACCATCCAAGGCATGTTAGATAAATTCTGGTCTGGTTTCCAGCACTCTACAGAAACAGCCCTTCTCAGAGTGTCTAATGACATCATGATGGCTGCCGATGCAGGCAGATGCTCTGTACTGGTGTTATTAGATCTAAGTACAACATTCGATACTTTAGACAACCATATCATGCTTGACAGGCTCAGCAAGTGGGTGGGTGTCTCGGGGAGTGCCTTGAAGTGGTTTGCCTCCTACCTCAGTGAGAGAAGCTTCTCAGTAGCTGTTAACCCTTTTGTGTCTGACCCCACCCCCCTGTCATGTGGCCTGCCTCATGGTTCTGTTCTGGCCCCTATACTGTTCTCCCTGTATATGCTTCCCCTTGGCCGCATCATTAGTCATTTCAAAGGCGTTTCCTATCATTGTTATGTAGATGACATCCAGCTATACCTGTCATTTAAACCAGATAACATCAAAGAAATTAACATACTCCATGAATGTCTGTCTGCTATCAAGAACTGGATGGCCAACAACTTCCTCTAACTAAATGCAGACAAGACCGAGGTTCTCATTACTGCTGATGACTCTACGTTCTCTAAGGTGGTCAACCACATGGGGTCACTAGCACGTAACATCAGGTCTGACCTAAGGAACCTTTTGACCAAAACATGCTGTTTGACAAACATGTTCATTCTCTGTCCCGCTCATGCTTCTTCCACCTCAGCAACCTTGCAAAACTCAGGTCCATCGTCTTACACTCAGAACTGGAAATGGCCATCCATGCATTTATTTCATCCCGGCTTGACTATTGCAATTCACTGTTCACCTGCTTCAGTAAAACATCTCTGGACCGTTTACAACTTGTCCAAAATGCCACTGCCTGGTTGCTCACTTGGTCACATAAGTCTTGCCATATCACCCCCATCCTGGCATCCCTGCACTGGCTTCCTGTTCAAGGTCCTGGTCCTGACATACAGAGCTCTCCACAAAGTAGCCCCCACTTACATTTGCGAGCTCCTCAACCCTTATGTCACCAGCAAGTCACTGAGGTGTTCTAACCAGGGCCGAGCTTTTCAATCCATGGCCCCAAAGCTTTGGAACTCCCTGCCCTTGGACCTGAGATCCTTAGCCTCTGTACATAATTTTAAGGTACAATTAAAGACACACCTTTTTAGGTAGGTGTTTGGACAATTGTAAATAATTATATAGATTGTATACAGATTGTTGTTTCTGCTGCACTGTATCTCTCTGTTTGTACTTGCTGTGTTTTTTATTTGTTTAACTATTTGTATTTTCATTGTGAAGCACTTTGTCACTTCGAGCTGTGAAAGGTGCTATATAAATAAAGATTTACTTACTTACTTTAAGCCTGTTTTTCCCCAGCCAAATTTAGCATCCCTTTTAATATTATGGTAGCTAGCCCTAGCATTAGCTGATAACTTAGTGTGCTGACAGTACCTGGCCACACTGGGCTGCCAATCTGTGTTAACCGTAGACAGTGGGGGTGTACTCTTTATATTTCACCTGTTAACATTTTATTTAGGCTTAAAGTTAAGTATGATTAAGAGCGGGCCACTTTGACTGACGGGCTGTCTGCTGATAGTGTCCTCAGCTTCACAGTCAGATCCACTCCTCCCTTCTTATCACAGTCTATTGTCCAAATATAATCACTTGTGGTTCTAAAAAAAACAAGATGGCCAAAATGCAAACTCTAAGCCTCAAAACGTTAGTTTGCATACCAGTGGAGAACCTTTATCAATGGTCGTACCATTTTGTGCTCTACAAGGTAGCGGATAGTCTCCCTGATGCCACAGCTGATGAGATTTGAAGTGTAACCGAGGAAGATGGTGCAGCTCTGGAGGCAGGGGCAGGTTGATGGATCTTCCTCAACCGTTCCATTCACCCCCTTCACCGGTTGCTGACGCCTCTCAATCTGTGGGTGTGGAGTGGATTGCAAAGTTCAAGATTTTTTGTAGATCACAATCTCAAAAATCAATTTAAAATGCTTTGCAGGATAATGAAAAAAGCAGATGCGCTCACACAAATACACTCAACAAATTAAACTTTTTTTTTTAGTTTAGCTGCTGCTATACTGTAACCATGTCCAGCAGGAAAACACAACCATTTTGATTTCTTTACACTGGCTTCCTATCAGATTCAGGATTCATTTTAAAGTATTTGTTCTCACATATAGAGCCCTCCATGATCAGGCACCTGAATACATCTGTGACCTCCTCCTATCGCCAGTAAGTCTCTTAGGGCTTCTGACTAGGGCCTACTGGCTGTCCCATGCTCTAGACCAGTGGCATGCACAGACTTTTTGAAGGGCAGGGGCAAAAAGAAAAAAAGGGCACATACAGCGCGTTCTCGCCACGTTTTGGCTCCCAGGAGGGCACTTTAGCATGCGTTTTGGCTCCCAAGAGGGCACTTTTGCGTGCATTTTGGTTCCCAAGAGGGCACTTTAGCACACGTCTTGGCTCCCAAGAGGGCACTTTTGCGCGCATTTTGGTTCCCAAGAGGACACTTTAGCACACGTCTTGGCTCCCTAGAGGGCACTTTAGCACATGTTTTGGCTCCCAGGTGGGCACTTTAGCGAGCATTTTGGCTCCCAAGAGGGCACTTTTGCGTGCGTTTTGGCTCCCAAGAGGGCACTTTAGCGCATGTTTTGGCTCCCAGGTGGGCACTTTAGCGTGCATTTTGGCTCCCAAGAGGGCACTTTTGCGTGCGTTTTGGCTCCCAAGAGGGCACTTTAGCGCATGTTTTGGCTCCCAGGTGGGCACTTTTGCGCGCATTTTGGTTCCCAAGAGGGCACTTTAGCACACGTCTTGGCTCCCAAGAGGGCACTTTAGCATGCGTTTTGGCTCCCAAGAGGGCACTTTTGTGCGCGTTTTGGCTCCCAAGAGGGCAATTTCAAAACAGCCAGCTATCCATGCAGTGAACGGTTTAACAGCGAATAAGTGCTCATATTTTCAAGAGAAAGTGAAACAAAAAGTTGAGTATCATCTGTATAGCTATGATAACTGATAGTTTACCAATGATAGAGCCAAGTGGAAGCATTTCAACAGTTTAAACAGAGGAGAATATGTGGTTCTTTTTAATGATCACTGATTGAGCTCTTTCTACATACACGCACTGCAGCAAATAAAGCATAACAATGCCTAAAGAAATTACGCTACCTGCATCAGAGGTCCTAAAAACGTTTTCAAAAGTCTAAAAAAATTTGAACATTATCATTCCCTAAGTTCACCCTGTGTAGCACCCGTCTCACCATGTTGTTGATCTCCTGGATAGCCAAGCCAAAGTGAGTAGCCTGGAAGCCTGTGTTGAGATAGGACTGCAGCAGGGCACGGTGGTCCACTCCTTGGTTGAAGTCGTAGCCATGGACCTTTGGTGTATCCTCTGGTACGGGGTCAGTGTGTCTGTAGAGATCCCCAGTTATTGGGTGGATATGGTGTGCCATACTGTCTGAAAGAACAATAAGATACACCGTTGAAAATAAGTCCTAGAAGTAAAACTATAAAACATCCACTGTACTTGAATGTAAATGAGCTGTATTCCATGAAGGAGATGATAAAACGAAACAACTTACAGTACAGCACAGCACATGAATCTAACAGAGATAAATGTAACTCGGGAGAATTTTCAGAGAAGTGTAGACAGATGGACGGCTGCCAAGGATAGGCCCTGCCACCCCTGATAAGAGACTGGAAGAAAGGTGCCACCCACTCACTCTGGGTGCTCTGTCTAGCGTAACTAAAACAACCTGTGACTTCAGCCCCTACAGCCACATTAATTATGTGGAAGTACCTGATATGTTTTCCACCTGAGCTCCAACCACATCAAATCCGTGAGAGGAGCACTGACAAAACACAAATCTCCAAACAAACATCAAGGAATTAGGGGTAACGAAGGCGCACTGTTGCTTCACCTCATGTCTCGGCCAAAAAGTTGCACTTGAACACACCACAATGAAGAGAAACAGGAAGACTGATAGGGCGGATTGAAGACACTAGTTAGCCAGTTAACACGATAACAACCAAATGACTGAAGGAGGTTTTCTTTTCTCACTTCCATTTCTTAATAAAAAAAAAACAGCCAACAAGGGCCAACTAGTACAAAAGGTGTGGGACACAGCTCAAAAACTAGGGCAACTGACACTTACCGACAGCCCGACATTGAGCAATGGCCAATGGCTGGCTTGGTCAGGCCTTTGTCAGGGCCCTTCCCAGCCAACATTTCTATGTGGGGCTCATGTGGATTGTAAATAGGCTGAAGAATGGGCCCCATATGGGATTGTCCACGAGTTCAATAATCGCCCCATGCCGATTGCTCACATGGTTGATTTTACCAAAGTGGGCTCCAGATAAGATCCCCATGTTTAGCATATACCCACGTGGTACCCAATTAGCCTTAGCATTACCCATGCATGGCCCATTAGGGTAAACCCATCCAACACACCACTGCACAAGTATAAATGCTCACAGGGGCGTAGGCCACGTGCGTAGGCAACAAGTAACACGTTTACAATAAATTAATAAAGAAAATGCAACAACAAATGGTGAAACAAGTTGGATGATTTCAGACAAAGACTACACAGACAACATTCCTTGTAATACTTGTGATATCAGTTATCATCTGTCAGTTATCTTTTTTATCAAGAGAAAAGAACTAGTATTAACATGCATCTCAGCTGATCTGATCACAAGTGGACAGCACTTAGTGTAAACAACCACCAAGATGCATTATGATCCGATCACCCACATTCAGAGGTGGTCTGGGCCACATATAGCCACATTTTTCATCTGTGTGAACGCCAATGTGTCCCAGGCCACACTGCGTGCAGCTTAACAATTGAATATAATTTTATTCATTTTAAATAATTAAGGCTTTAAGTGTGGGAATAGTGCTACAAACCTGCCACCGGTTAAAAGCAACAACACATTTGGGCTTTGCAAATTAAATGATTCTCATGTTTATTTGCAAATAGAGCAGGGAGGTAAGATCCGGTCATACATGTTCACAACAGACACGTAGAGAGGTGTGAACAGACAGACAAAAAACTGTCTACTTGTGATCTGATCACCCAGAACTCATTAATACCAGGTATAAACAGGCTCTAAGATCCCCTTTATGCATGCTCCATACTCCTTTTCTCTTATTAAAAAATCCACAATATATAACTGTACTAATATTATTTCTTTGGGAAGTTTAACTAGAAGACACAAGATGATTCTCTTCACTCAAAAGTCTATCTACACTTTGTATTGACTATCCTGGTCTCTTTCGTGAAGGTAGATTACTTGTACACTTTGTTGGCAGAGGATCTCTTAAAGATGTAGGTCTGTATGATTTAGTCCATGCACCTTCCACCAAAGAGACAGAGATCTGCTATATTCATTCCTTTATAGGATCGGGAGGGTGGGGTGATATGAGCAGTTAGGAGGTCCAAAGCAGCAGAATCAAAGTGGGCTCAGCCTCTTTAAGTGACGTTTGAGTTGTATAGAACCTCAACATTTGTGTTGAAACCGATTTGATGGCATCTGCTGCACGGAGTAATGAGAGGCAACGTTATTGCATGCCTCAGTCGATACTCAGTCTATGCTTGTTTTACTGAAGAACTTTTAATAAGTTGACCTGGATGGTAATTTTGTTCTTTTTTTTTTAAGGTGGTCCACAGCTCACCTTGCCACTAAGATGATAGCTGCAGTATCAGAGCAAGCTACAGGTGTTATAGGAGGAGGGCAGGGTAGTGCAAGCAGGTGGACATCCAGGCAGGTTCACCCACATAACTTTCTCTCTGCTCCGGCTGCCCGCAGCTGTCTGCTCTGAGGGCATCCACACCTCACTCTCTCTGTCTAGCTCAACTGCAAAACACTGCATGTTGAGCAAAGCAGGATGAGGGGGGGGAAACACTCTGCATGTTCTGCCTTGTTTGTTCAGTTTGCTGGCAAAGACAAAAGAAAGTTTTGTCACAAAAATATGGTGTTATGCCAATATGGAAGTTAGCCTCACCCTGGTTCCCTCTACAAAAAGCCTATAGGTTTTTTCCATTGGATTTTGGATTGGACCCAAAGATACTTCTCGGGAAGGTAGAATGGAGCGTGATATGCATCAGTGGTTTGGCGCAGCTTCTTGCAGTGATGCTGCCGCTGCGCCAGACCATTCTGATGAAGAGGGAGCTGAGCTGGAAGGCGAAGCTTTGGATTTACTGGTCCATCTACGTTCCAACCCTCACCTATGGTCATGAGCCCTGGGTAGTGACAGAAAGAATGAGGTCGTGGATACAAGTGGCCAAAATGACGTTCCTCAGAAGGGTGGCTGGGCGCAGCCTTAGAGATAGGGTAAGGAGCTCGGACATCCGGAGGGAGCTGGGAGCAGAGCTGCTGTTCCTTTGCATCGAAAGGGGTCAGTTGAGGTGGTTCGGGCATCTGATCATGATGCCTCCTGGGCGCCTCCTGTTAGAGGTGTTCCGGGCATGTCCCCCCGGTAGGAGGCCCTGGGGCAGACCCAGAAAATGCTGGAGGGATTACATATCTCATCTGGCCTGGGAATGCCATGGGGTCCCCCAGGAGGAGCGGGGCAGTGTTGGTGGGAAGAAGAATGTCTGGGTGCTTTGCTCAGCCTGCTGCCCCTGCGACCCAGCCTCGGCAGAGGATTCAAGTCCCCATACGGACCAAGTATGGAGCATGGGCAAATAAATTCCAGGGAAGGCGAGACTTAAAAGAGCTTAACAGCTCATATGAGAGTGTCGGGGGGTGGAGGTGCTTTCTCATGTCACAAGACTACTGTTTTTAGAATATGCAGTGTCCCTCCCAGACAAAACTGCACAGACAACGTTCTTACTGATAACCGTAATTATTATCTGTCACTTATCTTTAGGTCTTAAATCTTTATGTACTTTCTCACAGTTGTTGGTCAGATGTTGTCACTGACGGCTTCATGTGGCTTTAGAAGAAAATACCAGTTTGTAGTACAAAGATTAAAGATATACACAGACAAATATTAGTGAGCTGTATGGACTTGTAGAGGTAACCTTATTACATACTTGCCAAAATTATTGCTTCAACCACAAAACCTTAAGGAACCCTTTTTAATGACTGAAAACACTTCACCTTCACCAACACCTGGCTCTCCTCTGCCTGCAACTCCCACCACGTCGGCTTCATCAACAATTTTGATGTTTTCTGGGAGAGACGACACCTCTTTGGGCCAGATGGGCTCCATCTTAACAGGGCAGGTGCCCGCATGCTCTCAGCCAACCTGGCATACGGTGTTCAGCATGCAATTTTCCCCAAACCCGCACCAGCTGCTCTGTCCGACACCGATTGATGTCCCCCAGGTCCATGCTCCTATCCACTCAGTTCCACCTCTGACCACCATACACACAGTACCGGACTTGGACCTCAAATTCACACCAACACCTCATCCATTCCGGTAAGCATCACACTACATCAACACATCAGACACCGCCATACTCACTCCGTGAACCTTCATAACCTTNTATTAAAAAGACTCAGACACCTGGTCGGCCTCTCCGGTACTGTTCTTAACTGGTTTTGTTCTTATCTCACAGACCGATGCTTTTATGTAAGTATGGATACATGTTCCTCTGGAACCCATGAAATTGGATGTGGGGTTCCCCAAGGCTCATTTTTAGGTCCACTTCTCTTTAATCTTTACATGCTTCCCCTTGGGGACGTCATCAGGAGACACGGCATCAGCTTCCATAGTTATGCCGATGATACACAGCTATACATCGCCGTGTCTCCTGATGACACAGGGCCAATTGATACCCTTTTTAACTGCATTGTAGACATCAAGTCATGGATGGCAGAGAATTTCCTGCAGCTCAACCAGGACAAAACTGAGGTTTTAGTTATAGGTCCTGAAGGCCAGAGAGAGAAACTTTTACCAAAACTACAGGATCTTAAACCAACCCAATCAGTAAAAGATTTGGGCGTGACTTTTGACTCTGAGCTGGATTTTAGCCCACATATCAAAAATATAAGGAAAATAGGTTTTTATCACCTTAAGAACATAGCCAGAGTCCGCCCGTTTCTCTCTCAGGCCAGCACGGAGGTGCTAATGCATGCTTTTATTTCCTGTCGCTTAGATTACTGTAATGCCCTGCTCTCTGGTCTTCCCAAAAAGAGTATTTTAAATCTCCAATTATTACAAAACTCAGCCGCACGCGTGCTGACGAGGACCAGAGGGCGGGAGCACATTACACCAGTTTTAGAGTCGCTGCATTGGCTCCCCATCCGCTTCAGGATCGATTTTAATATTCTCTTACTCGTTTTTAAATGTCTTAACGGCCTTGCGCCCTCTTATTTATCTGAACTGCTTTTATCAACCCTCGCGGACCCTAAGGTCCTCCAGCACTGGCCTTTTAACCATACCAAAACCCTGAACAAAAACCCATGGTGAGGCAGCATTTAGCCACTATGGCCCCCACCTGTGGAACAGCCTGCTGGAGAGCCTCAGGACTGCAGAGACTGTTGATATTTTTAAAAGAAGATTAAAGACACACCTTTTTAATCAGGCTTTTAACTAATATTTTAAACTCTTCTTATGTTCTTATCTGGTTCTATCCTACTTTATGTTGCTGCTTTTATCTTGCTTTTTAAGATGATATTAATCTTAATTTTTTGTTTTTATTTATCACTGGTACTGTATCTATTCTACTTTATTTATAATCTTACATATTTTATTTTTGGTACTGTAT